CGGATCCCACATACAGACCGGTTCCCGCTCACTGGCTGAGCGAGGCGCGGAAGCAACACCGAGGGTTGCGATCCCGTTGCCGGTCCCGGTCCGGTACGGGGGCAACACTGAGGGTTGCGATCCGTTGCCGGACACGGAAAAAGACAAAAAAAATAAAATAAAATAAATTAGGCCTAAGGAGAAAGGGGCCTATGGCGGGGGGGTGGCACATCTAAGACTCAGGAACTGCCCACAGCCAGAGGCAGTCGGAAGTCTTGCTATGGGCTCAGACTCAAAGCCACTGATCCAGATAATAAGAAAATGGCTCCAAAACATGGATAGAGAAGGAATTTGGAAAAAACACAGGGACTGGCAAAACTGTGGCCTAGGGAAGAGCCAGAACCTGGAACCCGTGGAACGGATGGTGCCGCCTTGATGGTGGATCAGAGAGACAGCCTGGCTTCTGTTGTGGAAACAGAGGGGGTGCCTAGGCTCTACCAGTAAGGGGTCTAGTGGTACACCCACCTACACTGACTCAGCTTGCAGGCTCGTGCTCAGATGCCAGCTTTGACTCACTTCTGGCTAAACCTACAAAGAAACAAGAAAGTGGAGGGCTTTCTCTATATAAAACAGTTCCAAGGGGGCCCTTTGCTCATCTTTGCCAAAGAAATCAAAGACTTTCCTGGGATGGCACATGGGGATCCCAGTTTGTGTACTTTCCCTGGAAGTTGTGCACAAATTACTGTTCTTTTTCTAATCTGTAAAATGTATTTTAAATATTTCTGAGAAGCTTGTCATTCAAAGCAATTTTTCCAGTTAATTCACTTTGTGCAGAAAATAATTTTGTATGCAAATAATCATTAAAAGATTTTTTTTAACATTTACTTGTACATATTTGTGGGGTACAGTGTGTTGTTTCAATAGATGCATATACTGCACAATGATATACTCAAATAGTCTTTACCAATTTTGTATTTGTAGTTTTATGTATCAGGGTAGATTGTATTTTCAGTCTTGAATAATAATAATCATGATCATCTGGATAATAATATTAATAATAATGATAACAATAATGCTGTTGATAATTGCCAAAGTTAAGGGCTGAGCAGACGAGGAGCTTGGACAGGACAAGCCCTGGTGGTTGTAGAATCTTGAAAGAAGCCTTATGAACTAGAAGAACACTATCAAAGAAATCTAAGTCCTCTGATGATTTTAAAAATCAGATACTACATTTCAAATGAAAACCTAAGGTCAAAATAATAAAACCTCAAATTTTCTTGTCTGGGGCCAGACCTTGAGGTCAAAAGGAAAATAAACACAGCTGTAGGCCAGGCAAACCGCAAAGCTGGCGCTGCTCCACATCCTTAGGAAGGCCTGATGGCTTTTGGAGCCATCCCGGCTCAGCTCCCCAAGGGAGGTCGTGCTGGTTCCAGGGAGACCAACACTCTGTATTTCAGGCTCTGGCAGCAGCTGAGGCCCCATCTGGTTTCCAGGTCTGCTTCATTCTAGGCTTTCCTCTGCACCTGGAATTGCTGCTGGATTCTGCCAAAAAGGCACGTGGAGAATACTCCTCCAAGCCCCCACAGCTTTCAGCTCCTTTGCCTGGCTGACCCATGTACAGCAGTCAGTGGGACATGTTCCTTGGCAAAAGGTCACCACTGGTTACCGAAAGAGACACAGAAGAACCAGGCTGCAGAACTGTGCACAATTAAATTAAATGTAAATGACAAAAGTGCAAGCAGCAGCCATCTGAGTTGAGGGCAAAGGAGACATCAGAGTGGATTTCCACCATCAGTCCATCACCAAGGCTCTGTCAACAGTGGCAAATGTGGCACAGGAAATAAAACTGTTAGTAGCACCACTTGTCAAGAAGATTGACAGCACAGATAAGTCATGGATCAAATCTGGCCCTCTCACTGTTTTTGTAAATAAAGTTTTATTGGAACATAACTATCCCATTCATGTGCAGAATCACAGTCTCTCCAACCTGACCTGGGGACCCATACCAGTAAGGTACTTCCTGTGACACGGGGCTTTCAGATTCCCTTCTGGAATCAGAGGCTGACCAGTGGGGCTCTAGTTCATGCCTGGTCCTCTTCCAACACTGCGTTTATAAAGAGATAGGCAAGCACTGTTGTGAGCCCAACTTGCTCCAAACCAGTTTCCCTCCAGAGCAAACCAGGGAAACCAGAACTGTGTACAGCTGTCCTTGGGGGTGTGCAGGCTGTAACAGCTACAGATAGAAAGTTAACCCCCCAATGCCTGCATCTTCTCAGGTCAGTATATTACTGCTGTGCCTAATTTAAAAATAATCATGGTATGACTTTTCTAAAGATATTCATTCACATGCTGAAGGGTTTATATAGATTAACAAAAGTCTTTCCAAAGGAAAATAAATAGAATCTCTGGGGCTAACATGTGTATTTTGTTTTATCTTCATATGCCATTATTTTTATAGCATTTTGTTAGAAGTAGCCTCTTATACTTAGCAGCTCTTATCTTAAAATCAATCACAGTAAATTCATATGATTCTTCAAGGGCCACCAATTCACTGATTGAGGTACTTTTATAAATCACTTTTGATAAACTCATAACAAAGTGACCTGAGGTTCAAGAGTTGGACTTTTCTGAAACAAGGAGTCATCTAAACTAGGACTCATGGGTCAAATCTGGCCCTCTCATTGTTTTTGTAAATAAAGTTTTATTGGAACATAGCCATCCCATTCATTTAAGTATTGTCTATGGCTGCTTTCACAACATAATGGCAGAGTTGAGCAGATGCAAGAGTATATCCTGTAAGACTGTATGTCCTATAAAGCTTAAAATATTTATTACTGGGTTTTTACAGAAAAGGTTTGCCAACCCTTAATCTGAAGAGTGGTCTCCAGACTAGCAAGCAGTATTGGCATCACCTGGAAGCTTGTCAGAACTGCAGAATATTAGACTCCACCCCCAAGGAATTTGTGTTTTAACAGATTTCCTGGTGATTCTGATGCAAGCTGAAGTATATATAAGAAACTTAAATGTGCAAATAAAACACCTGGGCAGCTTGTTACAGTAAAAACACTGATTCAGTAAGTCTGGGGTGGAGCCCAAGATTCCACATTTCTAACAAACTCCCAGGTGATGCTGATGCTGCTGGACCTCAAACCACATTCTGAGTAGCAAGGGTCTGGTATTTTCCCCTGGCATCATCTAGCAGCAGAATTACCAATGGCACTTGCCAGAAATGTTTTAAAAGGGGCAGCCAGAGTATCATGAAGAAACCAATTCAAATACTTTTAAATGAATTCGGAGAGTGCAGTTCCTCAGAACTTACCTTTTTCAATATTTCTGTGTTCAGCAGCATGTAAATGTCTATAGTACGACTTTCTTCTTTAGCAAGAGCACTAAGGTTACAGTGCATTGTTAGGCAAGATATTCCCGGCTTTTCACAGTCCTGGGAAGAAAAATCAGAGGACTGTCAAATGGTTTTAAGAACAAAGACAAATTCGCAGCCATTTATAGAGCAAAGGGCTCCAGAATCTTCTTATTCCAGTAACTAAAGCAATTCCAGGAAGAGGAAATCCAGAGGAAGATGCCATCATTCTCTCTTGCCACCAGAGGGCATTGGAGGGATTTCCCATAGAGAGTGCACCAAAGCATGCCTTCAAGTCAAGCAACTGGGAGAAAGCAGCTCACTGGTATATCCTACCAAAATATTGGATTTCACAAGGAGAAATAATTTTTTTAAAAAAGAACGCAATTGCATATTCTGAAAACATTCTTATGAGTTTTTAATACAAGATATATTTCCTACATTATGCAATTTCTGCCCGTGTAGAGGCAAATCCTTTCATGCCCATTTTTTAAGTACAGTAAATTAGAGGGCTAAGAAGTCATATGACTCTTGTTCAAGAAAAGACATAAGTTACCAATAGAAATATAAATTCAAAATTTAAGTTACAAAAGAGGAAGTTTTCTCTTTTGTATTACAGGATCCAGATGTACATACATACCTTCACGATGTTTCTTTCATGTACAGGGTAAAATTTTCAGACACAAGAGAAGTATCTGTCAAACAACTAGATATCACTATACCTAACAATTGAAAGGACTTTAAAAAATAGATGTACTATCCTCACTATGTAAGTGAATAAAAACATTTCAAGTGGCAAACGGTCGCCCTTTTCTATAGGAGAAGACAGTGAGGAAGGACGTGATAAACCTAACTGTGATATACATGGTCTGTGTGGTGGGTTGAATTATGTTCCCCCAAAACTCACTGAAGCTTGAATTGTGTCCCCCAAGTTTTATGGATTAGAAACTTAGCCCCCACTGTGGCTGTTAAGAGGGTGGAAAATCCTATTATGATCATTGGAAGGTGGAGCCTTGAAGAGGTGATTGGGTTGTAGGACCATGCAGTGGTGAATGGATTAAAATGGTGGTTGGGGCCCGGTTCTGAAGGCTTTAAAAGAAGAGGAGAGTCTGTCTCTCTTGCTCTCTCTGCTTCCACCATCTTGCAATGTGAGACCCCTGGGTCACTGTAGCCACCACCAGATGGACTTTGGACTTCCTAGCCTCAGAAACTGTAAGCAATAAATTTTGTTTTTCTTTATAAATTACCCTGGGGTATTTATTATCTTGCAATGTGAGACCCCTGGGTCACTGTAGCCACCACCAGATGGACTTTGGACTTCCTAGCCTCAGAAACTGTAAGCAATAAATTTTGTTTTTCTTTATAAATTACCCTGGGGTATTTATTATCTTGCAATGTGAGACCCCTGGGTCACTGTAGCCACCACCAGATGGACTTTGGACTTCCTAGCCTCAGAAACTGTAAGCAATAAATTTTGTTTTTCTTTATAAATTACCCTGGGGTATTTATTATAGCAACACAAAATGGACCAATACAGGCTGAAATAAGGAGTTAAAGAAATGTAACCAAAGATACCGGGAAAGGAAGCTTTGGAAAAGCATTACGATTCCATCTTCAATACCTTCACTGTTTAAAAAATTTAGGTATAACATTTACAGCAAATAAAACACATCTTAAGTATACACCTTGATAAATTTTTACATGTTTATACACAGAGAACCACCACCCTGATCAAGATGTGGAACATTTCTGGCACCTGAGTGGGCTCCCTCATGCCCCGTCCTATCGATATTCCTCCAAAAGTAATCACTATACTGACCCCCATCGCCACTGATTAGTTTTTGCTATTTCTGAACTTCAGAGAAGTGAAATATACTGTAGTATGTGTCCTTTTGTTTCTAGATTCTTTCACTCAATATTATATCTGTAATGTTCAGTCATATTGTTGTGTGTAGCAGTAGTTTGTTATTTTTCAGTGCTATGTAATATTACAGCGTATGCATATATCACAATTGTTTACTCATTTTCCTGTTTAGATATTTAGATTGTTCCCAGCTTTTTGGCTATCTTAAGATTGCTGTGAATATTCTTGTCCATGTCTTTGGGAGACACAAGTACTCATTTCTCTTGGGGATATACCTAGGAGTGGAATGGCTGAATCACAGGGTACATATATGTTTAATTTTAGTAGATACTACAAAATAGTTTTCTAAAGTGGTTGTACAAGAACCATCACTCTTGTTCAGACTTACATCAGGAGAAACATTTTACTCTCTGCTTGGTAGGTTGCAGAAGCTTTCCCGTTGCCAGGCAATGGAATTTGGAATGCAAATTTAACACTTTGACTGAAACCCCAGGCTGAAAACTAGGAGTTGAACACAGTCCTTGTGATTTATAAATCAACTGATTAAAGCCAGATTTGGGAAATAATAAATAGCAAATAGAAAACTGGCCTCTAATTTCAGACTTGTCTTCCTAGCGAGGACCACCCATGTTACCCCAGCCACAAAGCAAATCCTTACCAAGACTTTTCTTCCAGACTTTGTGAAAAAAGCAAATATTGTGTGGAAGATATTTTCCTGTTCTTGAGGGATGATGCAGGGGGTTGGGTTTTTCTGGAAAGAGCAGTTTCCCTTCTCTTGGCCCACCTGAAAATGAAAAGAGGCCTGTCAGAGTGGTCGATCCCAAGAATGGATCATGATCCTGGAATCCCTTATTGTAGAGGTGGTAGCAGTAGAATTCAAATTCACCTTTTTCCCTTTGTCCATTCTCCAATGGACAACCATGGCTGGAAAGCTGAGGGCAGAAGTCATAGCACCAACTGGACTAAATAATAGAAAATGTGGATCTTAAGTCCCTAAATAATTAAGATGAGATGGCATGCAACACAGAAATCAGATGTGACTACGAAACAGTAAGACTTCAGGAACAAAATAAACCTTATATTTCATGGTTTCCAAAGCACATTTACGGTAATGTGCCATATAACAATGTTTTGGGTAATGATGAACCACATATATGATGATGGCCCCTTAAGATTGTAATAAAGCTAAAAAATTCCTATTGACTAACAATGTCATAGTCATTGTAATATCATAGTGTAATACTTTTTCTTTTCTTTTTTTTTTTGTCTTTTTTTTGACCGGTAAGGGGATCGCAACCCTTGGCTTGGTGTTGCCCGCACTGCGCTCAGCCAGTGAGCGCACCGGCCATCCCTATATAGGATCTGAACCTGAGGCGGGAGCGCCGCTGCACTCCCAGCGCCGCCCTCTCCTGAGTGCTCCATGGGGCTGGCCCAGTGTAATACTTTTTCTTTTCTTTTTTTTTTTTGTCTTTTTTTTGACCGGTAAGGGGATCGCAACCCTTGGCTTGGTGTTGCCCGCACTGCGCTCAGCCAGTGAGCGCACCGGCCATCCCTATATAGGATCTGAACCTGAGGCGGGAGCGCCGCTGCGCTCCCAGCGCCGCCCTCTCCTGAGTGCTCCATGGGGCTGGCCCAGTGTAATACTTTTTCTAAAAAAAATAAATTCAGTGTAGCCCAAGTTTACAGTGTTTATGAAGTCTATGGTAGTGCACAGTAATGTCCTAGGCTTTCCCACTCACTCACTGACTCACACAGAGCAACTCCCAATCCTGCAAGCTCCATTCATGGTAAGTGCCCTATACAGGTGTACCATTTTTTATCTTTTAAATACCGTATTTTTACTGTACCTTTTCTGTGTTTAGATTTGTTTAGATATACAAATACCATTGTGTTGTAACTGCCTACAGTACAGTAACATGTTGTATAGGTTTGTAGCCTAGAAGTCATAGGGCATACTATATAGCCTAGTTGTGTAGCAGGCTAATCGTTTAGGCTTGTGTGAGTACACTCTATGGTGTTTGCACAACACAATCACCTAATGATGCATTTCTCAGAATGTATCCCCATCGTTAAGCAACACATGATTATACAAACACGCTTACAGCAATTCTCCAAGATAGGCATTGATGCTCTTTGTCTGGATAAGGAAAATGAGACTCAAGTCAAGTCACTCGCCAACAATTACAGAGTCAAGGACCCAGGTCTTGAACTCAGGTCTACTGAGACCAAGCTTTGCGCATGGTCCACTACCAGAGGTTTTCAAATTGTTCCACGGAGCCCCTGGGTGTTATAAAAGCCCTTAAGAGTCCACCTAGATAGGGGAAGGGGCAGCGAGCAGGACTGCTCTAGGTCCAATGAGAGCATCAACCATATACAGTGCCATTTATTTCTTTATTTTTATTATTATTATTTTTAAAGATGACTGGTAAGGAGATCTTAACCCTTGACTTGGTGTTGTCAGCACCACGCTCTCCCAAGTGAGCTAACGAGCCATCCCTATATGGGATCCGAACCCGTGGCCTTGGTGTTATCAACACCACTTTCTCCCGAGTGAGCCACAGGCCGGCCCCTACAGTGCCATTTAAAACCAGGGTTCTACCAAAAAAATAGCTGGACAGCCACTGTGCTGAGCCAGACGGGAACTTACATGCCCAGTGAGCTCTTGGTGAGGCATCTGATCTTGCCTGTGAGACAACAGCAGTGGTGCTGAGCAACACTGAAAGCAAAACAAGCCAAAACAATGGTGTGTAGCCTTTCAAGTTGATCTCTTCAAGAATAACACTTTTTTTTTGATGCCTAAATTGAAGAATTGTCAAAAAAATGAAGTCTTCTTTACATATCTTCATATCACACTGGTTGTAGCTGAAGATGGGACAGGATGTAAGGTCAGATAAGAAAATTAATAATTAGGGCCGACCCTGTGGCTCACTTGGGAGAGTGCGGCGCTGGTAGCGCCAAGGCTGTGGGTTCGGATCCTATATAGGGATGGCCAGTGTACTCACTGGCTGAGCGTGGTGCGGACCACACCATGCCGAGGGTTGCGATCCCCTTACCAGTCAAAAAAAAAAAAAAAAAGAAAATTAATAATTAGGGCCGACCCTGTGGCTCACTTGGGAGAGTGCGGCGCTGGTAGCGCCAAGGCTGTGGGTTCGGATCCTATATAGGGATGGTCAGTGTACTCACTGGCTGAGCGTGGTGCGGACCACACCATGCCGAGGGTTGCGATCCCCTTACCAGTCAAAAAAAAAAAAAAAAAAAGAAAATTAATAATTAGTAATTCATAGTTTGGGATTGTGTTTACAATCCCATTGCTAACCAGAATCAACTGCTTAAACTCTCCTATCTTTAATGCCCTTGAATAAAATATAACGTGTATGAATTTGTTCAAGAATATTTCAAATTCTCATTTGTGGTAGGGAGCAAAGTTTAAAGTTTTTACATAAAGAGAATTCTAACTTAAGCTAACCATGCTAATTTTTAAATAATGAACTATAAAACAAGACCACCAAAATTTGCTAAATTAATCCTTAGCTTATCTTTGGTATGAACACATTCCAGAATCTATTATATACATCTGAAAATAAATAAGGTGAAGATTTGTTCCCTCAAACTAACTACTAGAAAAGAGAATGTTGCCTTTAAAAGTCTCTCACAATTTGGGACTTACTGTCATTTACAAGCCAAGCCTCTCATAATTTGGGACTTTCTCAATTACTATATTTGAACCAGAAAACTTGGGGAAGACATGCCAGCTGGAAATGGTCTCAATCAACATTGGTTTTGGATGATTTTAGAACTCACTAGAGAGAATTAATGGAAAGGAGGCAATAAAGTTCAACACAGATTTGGTGATTATTCCTTGAGCGCGATTGTTGAAAGTTGTGATAAATATATTGAATCCCATTTTAGAAAGCAGTATGTAAGCTGCTCATATGGTGAGATAATGAATATTCACTTATTAGACAAATGAGAAAAACAACTGCTGCAGTGTTATGCAAACGGATATTTGTGTGTTGCAATAAAATAACAACATCGAACACATTAAAAAGTTTTGCATTTCAAATAAATTAGACAAATTGAAGATGATTTATTCTGGAAAACTATTGACCAAAAAAGTGGCTTAGTAAGGATATACGTTGATCTCAAAAGACGCACGTTTGAATAAAATAATTTTGTGAAACGTGACAATGAAAGAGTAATATAAATTAATACATTATTCTTATATGATTTTAAATATGCAACTATGTGATTAAATTAAATATTATGAGTAGATAGCTGATTATTTCACTCATTTTCCTAAATTTTTAAGGCAAAATTTATATTCTCTAAAATGCACAGATCTTAAGAGTGCAAGTTTGATGAATTTTGACAAATTAAATCACCCAGTAACCACCAACCCAGTGAAACTGCAGAACATGTTCATCACTCCAGAAAGCTCCTCAGTCCCTTTTCCAGTCAATTCCCACCCCCACCCCAAAGGCAAACACAGTTTTGATTCCTATTAAGTTCATCAAAAAATTTTTAAAAACTGTTAAATTTGCCTCATTAGGGAAGGGGGGGTGTCATTTGGGGGTTGCCCTATATTTAGGCATGTACAGTATGCAGTGGATGGAAAACATTTATGTTCACTGGGCATTTGACAATTAGAGTGGGCGTACTCATACCCCTAACTCCCATCACCTTTTCCCTCTGAAGCACGTGGGTCTCTACTTTCCCTGCTTGTCTTCTGGAGTGGACATCTGCTGATAGACCACTGGAGAACAGTCCTCTGGAGCCCTGAGGCATGCACATTGCTCTGTTAAGATTACCAGGCCTGGCCACCCAAACACAGTTGGTCTGGGTTTAAAGAAACAGAAACTCTGAGTCTTGTAGGATGCAATCACCCGTAATTAAAATCAGGGGTGGGGGTTGAGTTCCTCTTTGCTCTGCAAATTGATGCTTCGGGTTTCTAGGCAAGGAGAAGGAGCTCGGAACAGAGTCCCCACCCAGGCAGCTTCACTAATGTGCTTTGGGTGTGAGCAGCTGACATCCGGCCGCAAGACGCCAGCAGAGAGGGGCAGGGAGCAGGGAACGGCAGGGCAAGGGTGTGAGAAATAACCCTAGCTGGAGGGCAGAGCTGTGCTCAGAACTTAGTTTTCCTCTTGCATGGGGAGTTGCTGGGGTGGCCTGTGGACAGGGTAATGATGATGACATGATATGATATGTTGTGACACTTAATCTGCCCGTTGTGGAATGTGAAGAAGTGAAATGGAGACAGAGTCTGTGCTGAATGAAAATCTTGGCCAGTTGTGCTCTGACTGTGGTTACACAGGAATCACTTCAATTGGGGAAAACAACATTTTTCTGGGAGGTTCAGGGTGGTTCCCTTTCAAAGGGAGATTGGAGATTGCTTGGTGCGGCACAGGTCTAATTCAGACCAGCTACTCCTGTTGTGGACGCTCTCTCAGCTAAAATTCAGCAACTCAGTGCCTGGCCAGGGTCACCAAGGGGGGACTCGTGTTGGATGGATACATATGTGAAGCCACAATAACAACACCTAACACATGTGCAGCCCTTGCTGTGGGCCAGGTTCTGAGTGGTCTTCACACATTAATGTCCAGTCCTCACTACAACCCTGTGAGGCAGGTGCTATTACCATCCACATTTTATAGACAGAGAAACTGAGAAGCAAGGGTAGGCCAGATGACCAACGGAGGTCCCCCGGCTAGCAGGCCACAGAGCTGGGCCGGGATGCAGACCATCTAGTTCCAGAGATCTGCTCATAGCCACTTCCCTGTACTGCCT